GAGTATACCCTGAAGAGAATAACTTTTTTTAAAATTATCAGATATGGACATCTGAAAGAAAATCTGTCTTTGTATAATCGGAGGTTTGATGTTTAATTAAAAAATGTAATATAATTGTACTTCAGTTTCTAATAATTTTCGTTTATGGCTGCCACCACTTCCTCAAATAATTAGATAAAAAGGATAAAAGAATGTTTCGTTTTCTGCATAAATGATCATCGTTCGCAGATACTGAAGTAATATTTCGTGATTTTTTAGCATTATTAAAACGTATGTACAAATCAAGAGGTTGGTTTTATATATTTCATTTTCACTATTCTCATTTCTTTTTTAGTACTTTGGGCTTCATTATTGATTGCACGAATTGCTATGTTTAATTTCTTTCCTTTTCCTTTTCCTTTCCTTTTGTGTTATCTTATCTGTAGGCGAAGGAAGTCCGGAGGCTTGCTGATAATATGGTACAGCTTGGGAAAGAGGTGTGTATTTCCTCTGCTCAGATTTAAATGAGTTTATTGATTCAGATTCTGATGACAAGTTATTAAGTTGAGTGTTTCTATCTTTTGAAACCCATTTATTTCATCGTTAAACTAGTTTAATTTGATAGTATGCAATTAAATTCTGTAACTAGGGTCATTCTGTAATGGTAACAACGATATGTTTTTGAGATTCATGAATCAGCTATGTCATTTCAAATCTGGTAGAAGATTAGTACACTTTGGGCAATCTGAGATTTGCTCAAGTTATCGTACACTTCATGATGTGGAACATAGTATATTCCCTGGCACTGCTCGAGTACAACATTCATTCTCTATTCCTCTTTGAGATGCATCTCTATGTGGCCTTCTTGGGATTAGGTTGTACTCTGATGTAAATTTTATCAGTTTAAGAAGTATGGGGAGATTGAATTGGACGAAGATCCTTTACAGAGCGAGGTGAAAATTCAACAATTCAAAGAAAATAATTAATCACAGATGGAAACCTTGCTGGATTCTTGGGAAAAAAGAATAATTTTTGCATCAAAATTTGAATTAATATATTATGGATATAATGAATATGCACCTCTTTGATAAGTTAGTTGATCAACCTGCATGAAAAGAGTGCTCTATACGGCTATGAACTATCACTTTGATCTGTTTACTAAAGCACGTTTCAACAAACTTTTCTGTAGAATGTAAGCCCAGAAAACAATGTAGAGAAAAAAGTCTGATTCTATTCGAACTCCATGATGATGAGTTGACAAATAACAATCTACTTTATGCTTTCTAGCATAATGGAAAACCAGTAGTGCTTCTTTTCTGAAGACAGAATTTTCATGATATATGTACCTGGTTATTTTTTTTTCACACAAATACCAAATTACTGTAGGGTACTCTCTGTGCTGCAAGGCATGCTGCTGCCTTTGTACGTGGTGATGATGTCCTCCACAAGTTATTCACAGAATTGGCTTATCGATACAAGTGAATCTCAAACCTGTTGACTTTTCAGTGTTTTTTTTTACTTCTCCTTGTGATATAAGTTGGATGTTTCTCATTAACAGAGATAGAGCTGGTGGATACACGAGGTTACTTCGAACCCGAATTCGAGTTGGTGATGCTGCACCAATGGCCTATATTGAGTATGTCTTTTGTTTAACTATTTCTTTATCCTGTACGGAGGCACTAGCTTGCCATCTGTTTGCATATTAATGATTTAGAATAATAAGAATTTTCATATTTCACGAATCATCGAGAGAGAAAATCTTTATAGCACTTCTGAATATATCCATGGTACAGCTCATGTTTATGAATGCATTATGATATATTTCCCCGGTTGGGTGCTTTTTGGTTTCACATGGCAGGTTTATAGATAGAGAAAATGAACTTAGACAATCTAAACCACCAACACCGCAACCTTCTCAGAGGACTCCCTTGGATCCTTGGACAAGATCTCGACTTACGAGACAATTAGCACCACCTAAAGAGGAGAAAAGCTCTGAAGCTGAGAATTAAAATACAATATTTTTGAAATGTAAGACAAAGGTTTTATTTTCATCTTTCTATTTAATATGTAGCCTTCTGTAATTCCATGAAGGTGAAACTCTTTCTTCCTCATTTGCAGAGAGTGAAAATAATAAAGATCTGGATTTTTAGCCCCTGTTTGTCTCCAATTCTTTCAAAACCCGTCTATATACTGATGCTGTAGCATACTTAGCAGAAGGAAAGGAAAGGAAAGGAAGATATTTAGAATTACAAAGATGTTTAAATGTTTTGGCATATGCGTTTTGGTAGTGATGTATGGCTTCACTAGATTCAAGGAGTTCATATCAGTAACAATTGTTCTTGTTAATACTTAATTGTGCTAGAACTTGAGACCCAAAGAATGAATAGTTCACAACTAAGCACTTATCTAGCTCCATCTATAGTTTTAAGCTACTGCATGTGTGCACATCGGTGTGGGTGCGCGTGCCAAACGATGAACAAATTGGTCCATTGCGGCATTTTTTGAGGTGGCAACACTATATTGAGGCACACCAGGCTAGCCTAGTGTACTTCAAATTATCTGGGTTGGTCTAGCATGGCTTGTGCTGAATCCACAGGCCTATTGCACGTTCACTAGGCTGGACCATGTCTAAAGCATGGCACTTTTGACGCAATGTTTACACCCTTGATCAGGCTGTAGTTGGAAAGCACCTGCTTCTTGCTTCAATCATGAGGTGACTGACTTTATTTCCCTTCTTACAGTAGCCTAGTGAATCATTATAGCACAAGAAGAGAAAGTATAGGCTTGATGATTGCGTTTAAAAGTGAGCAATCACATTGCAAGTTAACTAACTCAAAAAGAAAAATACATAATTGAATTTGAGAATTGACCACACAAGTGATTCGGTCAAGGCACAAATGACAAAGTCCGGATTAAATAGTGACACAAAATACAAACTCCCTACATTATCATCAAATTGTTTTTTAATGTAAAAAGGCCAAGGCCAAAATACAAAGTCCGGATTGCTTTGCTTTCAATACAAAACATAAGGTGTCACGTCTTTATAGTATTCTCTCAAACTTATTCCCCTTTTCTAGTATTTATTTTATTGCAAGTCAGTTTAAATCTTAAATCCCAAGATTGAATGTCCTGTCCATCCGATAGGGGATTTAAAATTTTGGTGAATGAACATTAAAGAAATTTACGGAGGGATACAGAATCATGTTAGATTTTTGGCCAAAAAGAAATCGAAGAAAATTTCCTCAAAATGCTCGGCCAAATCAAGAATTTTCTTACATATATATATATACACACACATATACATAGGCGGAGCCAGGATTCAGTGAGACGGGGGGCTAGTGAGTTAGATTATTATTATTATTTTTTTTGTAAATATTTGAAGATGGCTGAGGATAATTATATTTGTCATATAAATATTTATGTATTTTGAGGTAGTTATGTACAAGTACAAATACATTGGGATGGAGTAACTGAGTATTCTTGGCGATAGGTGCAAGGCTTCTGTCATACAAGGATGTCCCACCCTCTGTATGTTTCAGAAAGCAGCTCAGTTGTTATATTGCCAATTTCATTTTTCCTTTTTTTGATTTACTTACTGGCCGGTCAAGACTTGAAAGCTTAGAAGTTCAATTTTGTTGGGGTGGGGTGGGGATATGGTTATTTTGTACACTATTATGCAAAAATAATACATCTAATAACATGTCAAATTGTCACAGTAGACCACTGAGAAAGACTGTCTTGCAAGGTGAACCAAACGTGCCCAAAAGACATTGTAATATGACAAATAACACATTTCAATGCAATACCAACTTTTATTGTAATGATTAACGTTCGAGAAGACATTCATTAGGATTTGACTTGATAATTGAGTACCCATTACTGCAACTAAATAATAATATGGAAAGCTTAACAAGCAAGAAATGAAAAGAACATCAGTCATTAGGAAACTTGATCACTGTTAATGTGTTAAAAATGGGGTTAACTTAGAACAAACCATTTGATTAACAATATCACCTTCCATTTGAGGGGATTTTCTAACTGTAACCTAAAGAAAATGATTACATAATTACATTTCCCTACTTAGTAAGTAAAAAAAAAAAAAAAAACTGTTGAAAAGTTAATCTTGCATCACCACCTACAAAAAAATGAATAATTTCGTAATATTATGTTTGTTTTCAGCATTAATAGAACATGAACAAAAAATATAAAATCATAGATCAGAAATAGAGAGAGGAAAACTGTACTATCCATAAATGGCTATATAAACAAAATGTCAAAGAAAGAAAGAAAAGATTTTTATCTTAAAAAAAAAACACGTATTTTATGGTGGTTCATCTGAAAATATTGTAATCATTTTTACAGCTCAACACCTCAAAGATGTGTAGTTCTAGTCCATGGATATATAGAAGGAAAATTCAAATGTAAGTTATCCATTGCTATAAAGACCCTCCTACACTTTTCTTTCTACCTGCTATATATTACATCAGTTTACTCCACCATTCACAGAAAGCTCCAATAATACAGATCAACCATCCCTCTCTCCGTTTTTCATTTTCATCTCTGCAAGTCCTATGCTGGTTCAAAATTGACAAGGCATCTTCAAAGGTAAAATTTAATACAGATATTGAAGCATCTAAATCGTCGTGAAACTCCCTGTTTCCCGGCATACCTTTTACATATATAATCTTTTACTTGTATAAGTTGATAAGCATAGACAATCATGTAACTGTGTAGAATAGTGATTATAGTGATCCCTTTCTGAGAAATTCTGATAATCTTCAAATGGTCTTCTACTAAACTTGTTTAACATCTTTTTATAGCATCAGAATGTATAACTGCTTATCTTCCATATTTTGCTCTATCAATGTCGCGAACTTTTCTTTTTCAGCATAATATATATACACTTTTCAGACTTGCGGTTGATATTGAAATGATGTGTTTTTTTTTTTTCATGTTAATTTTCAGATCAGAAGTTTCTTAATTTTTTTATGAACAAAGTGATATATTGTTTCTGAAGCTCCATGGAAACCAGACAAAGAATGTGAGTACAGTATTAAATGATTTTATGTCTTATGCAATTCAATCCAATTTTAATTGTTTCATGCAGGGAATTTTTTTGGCCGACGAGTTTTACCCCCTTTCATCTTGATTGATTTCACAAAAACAATAAACTAAGCCTTGTTCTCAATAACTTTAGAATCGACTGCATGAATCGTATTTCATCACTCCATTTGGTTCATCATGATTGAGTTTAAGGAACTAAATTGTGACAGAAAATTTAAGCATAGCATCCTATTGCCGCAAAATAGCTTTCCAGAATGGTCTATAGGAAGTCCTAAAGTTTTATCATTTGCTGCAGAACTCAGCTTCTTCCTTTGTCCCGTTTTCATGTATGTTGTTTTTACTTTAAGATTCAATCTTGTGGATTTATTCCCAATGATAAATTTCCCTTTAAATTTGGCAGGGGGAGAAATCTGATAGATTCTGAAATGTTATGAAAATGGAGCTTTCCATTTCATCCAATATTTGATTGCCTTTTCAACATTTAACCTTTTATTTTATAGGCAAAAATTAAGAGTCTGAACTTGGATAGAAATTTTAAAAAGCTTTATTATTTCTAAAATGGTAGTAGAATCTTGAGGAAATTGTCAGAATAACCATTCTTGTTGTGGATTCTTTTCTGTAGAAGTTCTCTTAACAGAATATATTTGAAGCATTCTCATCTTTTGAAATCCTTTAGGTTCTGTGTGTATTTATTTATCTCATATATTTTTTTTCTCATTTTACTCGTCTAATCTACTCTAACATATATATGTAAATGACTTTTTCACAGAGACGACGTGTACAAGAGAAAATTAAAAAGAACCAAAGTTAAAAGTGTAGAAAAGCCTTTCCTATTTATCTCTGCAGGAAAGAGCACAAAATGCAAACTCCATCCCTTGAAGATTATCCTTGTCATCATTATACTTGTCACTGTTGTGACATTTCTTTCGTCTCCAACAATTTGTCACAAAAAGGGTATATCCCACACAGTTTCCCGGTCAGTTCTGTTTCCTTTATTGTCTTCCACTGTAAATTTAAATACATTATTACCCTCATTATACAATCTTCAATTAGAAACGGAGGAAATTGTGAGATCACTGACTTCAGGATTTCGCGTGTATAAATAATCTGCCTATATTAAGATTCGAGTAAATCATCTGGACAAACAGTGCACATCTAAAGTATTAGTAAACAGTCTTTTGAAATTGAGACAAATATCTAGTTTTAATGTAGTCATTAGAAGTCAGAAAATAATGAAACACAAAAGAATATATACTAAAGGAAGCTTAGAAACAATAATCAGCTATTATTAATTGGTAGTTTGTTTAATGCAGGCCACATTTTGTGAACAGGTGGATATGGGGAGGGTCAGATCCTCGCTATATATCAAATTTAGACATGAATTGGGATGAAATATTGCGAGCTTTAAAGAAGTTACCTGAAAATAATGAGATTCAAGGAGTAGGTCTTCTTAACTTTAATGAGAGTGAAATCACTCAATGGGAACAGTTTCTTCCCACTGCCAATCACTCTATTCTGCACCTGGACTACGCTGAGAAAAATGTGACTTGGGACACCTTGTATCCTGAATGGATCGATGAAGAACAGGAAGATGAAGTTCCTAGTTGCCCTTCTCTGCCAAAGCTTGAAGTGCCAAGACAACGACTTGATCTTATTGCAGTAAAACTTCCTTGCCGAAATGAAGGAAACTGGTCCAGAGATATAGCTCGGCTACACTTGCAGATATCTGCAGCTAGTTTAGCTGCCTCCTGCAAAGGCAATTACCCAGTGCACCTGCTTTTTGTTACAAAGTGCTTTCCAATACCAAATTTATTTACTTGCAAGGACCTTGTTGCACGTGAAGGTAGCACATGGTTATATAAACCAAACTTGAATTCCCTGAGAGAAAAGCTTCAACTCCCAATAGGATCATGTGAACTTGCACTTCCTCTTGGAGCCAAAGGTAAGTACATTGCAGTGTTCTTTTTATCTCTTTGCAGCTCTTCCCTGAGACCTATAGAGTCCCATTGTAAATGTACACTAACCATTTTATAAATCAGAAACTGCTGTCTCGCTAAAAACAGACATCATGGAGCAATTTAGAAATTAGATGGAATATTATATAAAACATGAGAAGATAGAAGGCAAAAACACCAATGTGATATATTATGATAATTAACATCAAAGTTCACTGACAAATTTTTTTTTTTTTTTTTCCTTCTCTCTTAAGAAAATAGGCTACTATAATATTTTACACAAAAATAAAATTTGAACAACAATTTACTTGGTTTATAACAGTAATTGACAAGCGACTACTTATTGTGTGAAACAGGACAAGATTATGGAGGAGAAAGGCAACGCGAGGCTTACGCTACAATCCTGCATTCGGCTCATGTCTATGTTTGTGGAGCCATAGCTGCAGCACAGAGCATCCGCATGGCAGGGTCCACCAGGGATTTCGTAATTCTTGTTGACGAAACAATTAGTGAATACCACAGGGGCGGACTAGAATGGGCAGGCTGGAAAATCCGGACAATCCAGAGAATAAGAAATCCTAAAGCTGAGAAAGATGCTTATAACGAATGGAATTACAGCAAGTTCAGACTATGGCAGCTGACAGATTATGACAAGATCATTTTTATTGATGCTGATTTGCTTATCCTTAGAAATATTGACTTTTTGTTTGGGATGCCAGAGATCTCAGCAACAGGCAATAATGGCACCCTTTTCAACTCAGGTGTAATGGTGATTGAACCATCCAATTGCACATTCCATCTTTTGATGGATCATATTAATGAAATTGAATCTTATAATGGTGGAGACCAGGGCTACTTGAATGAAATCTTTACATGGTGGCATCGGATACCAAAGCACATGAACTTCCTGAAACATTTTTGGTTTGGTGATGATGAAGTAGTAAAGCAGAAGAAAATTCGTCTTTTTGAGGAAGAGCCACCTGTTCTTTATGTTCTTCATTATTTGGGTTATAAGCCATGGTTGTGCTTCAGGGACTATGATTGTAACTGGAATGTGGATATCTTACAAGAGTTTGCAAGTGATGTTGCTCACAGGAGGTGGTGGAAAGTGCATGATTCAATGCCAGAGAAATTGAAAGAGTTTTGTCTGTTGACATCAAAGCAGAAAGCACAATTGGAATGGGACAGAAGAGAAGCTGAGAAAGGAAATTACTCAGATGGGCATTGGGGAATCAAAATACAAGATAGGCGTATTAAGAGATGCATTGACCCGCCATACTGCAACTGGAAGGGCATGTTAAAGCATTGGGGGGAGACCAATTGCACAGATGATGCATTCCCCGTTTCCACTCCACCAGCAAAAACCACAGGCTCCTTTAGTCTATGAGTAGCAGTTTCTACTTTTCTCAGTAGGTTGAAATTTTGTTCAAAGTACAGTGATGAAATGGCTTCCTTTTTGCCTTCCATTGTTTTCTTATCTTTGTTTTACATTTTCCAGGAAAGAGCAAGTACAAGGGGGCTTTAGACATTTAGTAGCCTTAACATATCAGATCTTTTTATAATTGTCTGTGTTGTCATCTTTACAGGAAAGAATATCCTTTGCCTTTTCCCTGTTACTTGCTCACTTGTTTTATTTCAGCTCACTGCATTTCTCCTATTTAGGGATTTGTTGCTAATTACTAGTTTGCTTGAACTTCTAGAAAAGTATTATGTAGTATTCAGCGTTGGCTTTCTGGAGGATGACACTAAATTTTTTATTTTGAACACCTATCAAAACTTGTGAATTTGTTTGGCCAAAGGAATATGACTTGCCCTATTACCAAATTTGTAGAATGCAATGGAACTATAACAAGATTGAGAAAAGAACGAGGAAGAAGAAGAGAAGAGAAGAGAAGAGAAGAGAAGAGGAAGAGAAAAGAAATGTGAGACAGAAGAACTTAGGGGAGAAAGTATTAATTGATTTCAATTGCTAGATATATATATATTTTTTAATGACTCAGATGTCCAAACTTCACCCGACTAATTCTGAGAAGTGGCGGCCTTCCCCCCCGGTTCGCCACCCGGGTTAATCCGGATGCAATCACAGTTTATACACACTTGGGTCGGCTATTCAGCGGTTCTCCTCCCTGTGGACGTCTGCCTTCCAGCATAGATGTTGCCTTCCAACAATTAAATGTTGCCTTTCAGCTGCCACAGCGATTCGAACCTTCGATGCTCCGTAGAGAACAATCCTGTTTTACCACTGCGCCATGCCCGTGGGGGCGCATTTGCTAGATATTCTTTGCTTGGACACAAAGTGGAGAGAAGTACTAAAAGTATTTTGACTTTGTTTTTCCATATTCCAGCATTTGGAGTTAATACTAATGCTAAAATCAACCTTATTAATGGCACCAATGGTTGGTTTCACGTTGGGATCAGCTACAATCAATGTAGGCGGAGTTAAAATTGTATACGAATAAAATATTTCGTGTACAATTTTTTTGAAACAAACAAATTTAAAAATTGCTTATTTTTTAAAATTAATCAATTTAGAAACTTAAAATATCCTATCAAAATTTTGCCTCATTTATAGTAAAAAAAAAAATATATATCCATTTCAATCAAATTTAAATTTCAAATTCAAATATGAATTTTGACATGACTTAACACTTTAAAAAATGTTACGTGTAGCTGCATGTAGCTGCCTGCAACAGGGCAACTACAGCTGCCAACTTAAGCAACGTGCAATGCACGTTTGCTTAGTTTATATTTAATATGTTTGTTTAATAATTAACTTATTATTAATAAAGATGTAATATTTTTTGGTTAATTAAAGGCATGTCTGGGCGCGTTGCAAGGAGGAAGGATAATTGATGATGGTACCTTTTTTTTTTTCAAAACTACAACCCTACAGTGAGAGAATTGGT